ATGTCATTTTTCTCAAAATTCTTTGATGATTTTCTCTTTATCTTTTGTTATCAGCAGTTTGACTATGATGTGCATAAGTGTCCTTTATCCATCTTCAGATTTGCCTAGCTTCTTGGACTGTCAGTTAATGTTTTTAACAAAATTTGTGAGAAGTTCAGCCTTGATTACTTAAAAAAAATTTGTACCCCATTCTCTATCCTCTGTCCTTAAGAATTCAAATTAATTATGTATAGATCACATGATATTGGCACTGAGGTTGATAAAACTAAGATCATTTTCCTCCCACTTAGGAAAAGTATTGGTAATTGGACACAGCCAAAGAGATATTCTGGATGTAAAAAACCAATTTTTCTATTCTTGGTTTGTAGACCACAGCATATATAGTGATCGTGTGATCTGCTGTAATGGCAAAGACCTTTATTTACTTCTGAATTATGTTTTGCTTTCCTCCCTTTTGCTCAAATTAGAATGCTTTTTATAGTTCTCTGGACCACCAAAGAAGCATAAGGTTCTGTCTAGTTTTCTGTTCTGCCCAAGGTTCAGGTTAGAGTACTCCCCAAGCAGCTCTGTACAGTGTTGAGCTATCTTCCATTCTTCATTCATTCATTCAACAAATTAGAGCACTTACCACATCCTGGATCTTCTTTTTTTCCTTTCTGTTAATCTGTATGCAAGTTCACTAACCCCTTTCTTTCTTAGTTTCCAATAGCTTGTTAAGCCAATCTAGTAAGTTTTTAATTTCAGTTATTCTTTTCAGTTTAAGAATTTCATTTTGTTCTTTTTATAGTTTCCACTTAACCGCTGATATTTTTCTCCATATGCTCACTCACTAGGGACATCTTTTTCCTTAACTCTTTGAATATATTTATAGTAGCTTTTTTAAAAATCCTTGTTTGATGATTATATTTTTTTGGGTTATCTCAGGGTCACTAACTCTTACTGGATTTTACATATGGGTTAGTGGGTAGGGCTAAACATTAGATCATGTATCTTGGTTCTCAAAATACAGCAAATCCAAAATCCAAATTTTGGGCTTCCAAATCAAAATAGTATATCTATATAGATCTGAAGGAGCTCTGGTGGCATAATGGTTAAAGCATTTGGCTGCTAACCAAAAGGCTGGTGGTTCAAACCCACCAGCTGTGCCATGGGAGAAAGATGAGGCAGTCTGCTTCCATAAAGATTCACAGCCTTAGAAACCCTATGGGGCAGTTCTACTCTGTCCAAAGGGTCAAGTGAGTTGGAATTGACTCAATGGCAGTGAGTGAGTTGATATAGATCTGTTTATTCATGACTTCAGACTTAGAATCCTATTTCTTCATACTCTAAACTCTATATCCCATGATTTAATCAACACACACATACACACACACATATATATAGAGATAAACATTCTATGTTGGCTCTTTTTTCCCCCTGACAACAACTCTTTTTTTTTCAATTGTGATTTGGGTGAAAGTTTACAGAGAAAATTCATTTTCCATATAGCACTTCACATACACTTTGTGTCAAGACATTGACTGCAATTTTCCCTAATGCAACAGCTCTCTTCCCTCCCATGCACTCCTGCCCCCTGAGGTGTCTCCCTATGCATACACAGCCTTTCTATTCTCCCATGATTGATCTCTCCAAGGAGTGTATCTACCTAATGTAAATGTTCAGCTCATATACCTGTCTTTTGTTTGTCTGGACGCCACAGGAGTGGATTCAATTCCAGACCTGAAGGGCAGCTAGGGGCCATACATAGTCTCAGGGGTTCCACCAGGATATATCAGACCAGCAAACCTGGTCTCTCCCCCTCTCCCCCTTTTTCTGTGACTTTGAGTTTTGTTCCACATTGCTGTCCCACTCTATCCAGGATCTCCTACATAGATCCCCCTCCAAGTGGTTGACAGTGGTAGCAAGGCATCAACTAGTTCCTCTGGTCTCATAGTTGTATAGGCTGAGGATCGCATGGTATACCAGTCCCTTGGACTAATTGTTTCCAAGCATCTTTGGTTTTCTTCATTCTTCTTTGCTCTGGATGAGGAGAGACCCATTGTTGCATCTAGATAGCTGTTTGCAAGCTTTTAAGGTCCCAGTTGCTACTTGCCAAAGTAGGATGTGGAAAATGTTTTTGTGTAGTATGTTATGCCAACTGAGCTTGATGTCCCCAGGGATCATGGTCTCATGCCCTCAGGTCCAACTACTTGTTCCCTATGGGTAGCTAGCTGTGGCCGGGAAGTGACCACAAATTTGCCCCTTGTCAGCTCTGCTATATACCTGGAAATTCTTGCAGAACATACAAATTCACTTGCAGAAACATTGTCTGACAACAACTCTTGATTTCCTTTACATTATTAACAATCTTTTACCTCAGCATTTCTCAGAGTGGAAGAAACCTGGCATTTGGCTTTAATTTTCCCTGTGTCCTCTTGGCCAGGTTTGCTGGGATTGTTTCATGACTTTACTGTCTTGACTTAGAACTATGGCTGGAAAGGATAAATGGTAGATTCCAGGTGCTACTTGTTGTTCCCAAATTAGTGCTGATCCTGGAGCCAAAAGAAACACAATCCCCTCTCTGCTTTGGGGGGTAATATTGGAATAGTTGCAAACACATGATATTTATCTTGAGAGATGGCCAATATTTTTTAAGTAGCCAACAAATGAAATGTATTTATATATAAAAAAGGCATTTTCCCATTACAAAAATATTGGGTTTGCTTCATTCCATGTGTGCTGTCCTTGAATAGGGAAGAAAAGCTCTGATTTCTCTTTGTCAACCATGATAATTTGAGAATCCTTACCCAATAATTTTCCTACACTGATCTCATTATCTCATTATCTCTCATTTATAGGATTATACAAATTCTATGAGTTTTTTAAGCTTCAACTCCTGTGCTACATTATCCTAGTAGTCTTTTCTGAGGACACGAGCAGTATTTTAATTCCTCCATGAGAATTTAAGATTCTCAGTAAAGACACATTGTTTTGTTACCAAAGTAGTGACAGTTATTAAGAGAACAGCCCTTGGAATAAGACAGACTTAGCTTCAAGTCCAAAATCTGCTACTTTCTGTAATCTTAGGATTTTCTATAGATACCTATAAGATGTGGAAAAACAGAGATGATAATAGTTGGTTGCTGTGAGGAATAGATATGGCAAGCCACATAAAGTTTTAGAGTAATTCTTGTTCCTCTTACATTGCTGTTACAACAGTGAAACCTGTGAAAGTCAGAACTTGATGGGACTATCTTGTTTTCCGGTCTCACAAGTTTTCTGCCTTTGACTGGGTACAGTCTTACCACTTTCCCATCCTCTCTGTTATAGGACAGTATTTGTGTTTTCCTTCTCTGACAGGTTTCTTCCTTACCTAGGTTTCAGTGTCCAGAGATTTTTATTTTTCGTGTTGTTATTTCTCCCATGGTAAATGCCTAACAAACAATTGTCTAATAAATACTTGTTGAATGGAATAAGTTCCATTCTGATGGATAAGAAAAACAAATTATGAAAAAAGTAATATTATAAGTTATGGTAAATGCTATGAAGAACAAAGAGCTAATAAAAAGAATGAAATAAGGACTCTGTTCAATAGGATTGTCAGGGAAGGCCTCTCTGAAGCTATAACATGTAAGCTGACACGTAAAATATGAGAAGCAGCCACACAGAGTGGAGAGGACAGCATTTCAGGGAGAGCATCATGTACAAAGATCTGACACGGACATGTGCTTGAACCCTCCTAGAATTGAAAGACCACTGGTGTAGGGGATAGAATGAGTAAGGGAAGAGTGACACCAGAGGAGACAAGAAAGTAGTAGAGACCAACTAAAAGGGCTTCATTAAGCCAGAGTATAAAATTTGGCTTTTAGTCAAAGTGTAAAAGGAAGACACTGCTCCATCCATTTTTTTTTTTTTTTCTCATAAAAAAGAAGTTGAAGGAAAATAAGAATTTCTGGCAAGATTTAGAGCTTGTTCATAGAAACTAAGAGTACACATGTAGAATGAAGTATTTCCCATTATGATTGAAGTTATTGATTGCCAACAAACAAAAAAATCCTTTTGGCATACTTAACAAAGATTTCTTCTACTTATCCTTTTTTTTCATACCTTTCAGGAATACCCCCAGGGGTACTATGATCCACTTAACATGGGGGTTAGACAAGAGGGGTAAATGACCCAGGCAAGAAGGGTGAGAGGAAATGGGTAAGAGAGCCATCGTTAACAGCTACAGTGTGAGGGCCAGGATGGCAGTGCATGTATGGGCAGTGAGGACCACTTTAGATGAGAGACAACTTGGAAGATGTATGGATAGATTTCTTAGAGAAGAGAAAGGCAGGGTTCCAGCATAAAATTGATGAGACGTTGTCAGATGCTCAATATTCTGGCACAAATAGTATAAGGACACTTAGAGATAATTTAAACCTATGTATCAGGTAATTATCTTCACAACCCAAGCTACCCTTGGGAAATAGGTCTTTAGTATTGTTAGCTTCCACTAGAATGCTAGGTTTAGGTTTATCCTCTTTCTTGAAGCTGCTTCATTCCTTCATCTTCTTTTTTTCTTTTTAATCTGCTTCATATTAGTGACTACTTGGCACTAATTAAGAACACTGCCAGCACTATAATGAGGTGTTTCTACTTTCATGTGATATATTGAGTAATTAGAACTATTTCCTCTCTTAAACAAGGAAATTTATTCCCAAAGGAAAAGTCTATGGGGGCAGGGGAGAAAGGCAGCCCACTCAGATCCCCATTACCCATTCACTGATGACAGATAAACTTAGAAGTGTTCACAATAACTGAGCTCTCCAAATTGTGCTCAGTATTTCTTTCTCCATAAACAAAACAAATGTATAGTATTTTAAGACAGCATGTGTCATAAACTTTGGATTTAGTTTCATTGTTTTTCTGAGTATGAAGGATAGCTTATTTAATGTCAGCTATGAACTTAGTAACAACTAATTATCTTTCATTTCATTACAGCTGATAGAAAAGTAAGAGCAAAAATGGTGAATACCTACTGTTGCCAGGTAACTGCATCCACTGTGCTTCCTGCCACCTTCATGAATCTGAAAGGAACAGAAAGAAAGAAAGGAAAAATTAACTTAAAGTAAACCACGTCCCCTAGGTTAAAATAAGATAGAGGCATAGATTTGGCAGAGCCAAAACGTCAATGTGGATTGGAGGAAAATTAACTGAGTACCTACTTGGTACCAGGCAGGGTACTAAGGCCATTATAGGATTACTGGCTCACCTACTAGCTGGTGAAGTATTAAATCCAGACACCCTAAACAGCCACCGTCCTATGGAGTCAAGCTACCCCTACTAACAGAACTCCTTGGGAAGCAGAACATGGATACCCTTTGCTATTGGAACCCATGAGTTTTTCTTCCTCTTGTCCTCATCCATCACCTTTCACCAGTCCAGAAAATCTCTTTGAGTCTGGAAGAGTAGTCCACCTTCCCTATAATTCTAGCCCTATGTCTAGGGCCTTTTGGAATTCAAAAGCCACAAAGGCTTTAAAGCTATTTGTCTACTTTCTGTGCACTGCCATGTGCTATCCCTGAATCAATAAGCACACAGCCAACTCTCTGCCTGAATTGAAGAAGAAGAAAAAAAGGACAAATACAAGAGAAAGAAAACAGATTAGTATCCAAAATATTTTCCTGCCAAGTGTGTGCTCCAAGAAGAGGAGACCTGAGAATAATCTTAGAAGCAGGATGGCCCAGAAATGAATTAGGGGAGACACAAGTATGTACTCCAACCGGGATTTTTTAAAAATTAGGAAATTTAGACCATCTTAGATACAAATAATTTTTAAAAAGGAATAAAATGTTTAAATATATTTACATGGCATTACTCTTCCAAAATAATTTCCAAAAAAGAAGTTTTTTTTTTTTTGATGGAGTTTCATTATGATTTTTTTTTTTTAATTTTATTTTGATTTGGGTGAAGATTTACAGAGTAAATTCACTTTTCATACAGCAGTTCACATATACTTTGTCTCATGTCATTGACCAAAATTTACAATGCAGCAGCTCCCCTCCCACTTCCTCCCCATAGTTACCTCTTCCCAGTGTCCATCCCTCCATACTCTTCTGCGCCTTGAGCTGTCTCCCTGTGCATAAGCAGCCCTTCCTTCTCCCATGATTGTTCTCTCCAGGGTGTGTGTCTACTTGAGGTAAATGTTTAACTCACTTGCCTGTTCTTTGTTTGGCTGGAAACCACAGGTGTGGGTTCAATCCCAGACCTGAAGGGCAGCTAGGGGCCATAGTCTCAGTGGTTTCACTAGGCTCTATTGGACCAGCAAACCTGGTCCCCACCTTCTGTTTTTTTTTTTTTTTTTGCCTCCAAATGATTTTGAGTTTTGTTCCACATTGTTCTCCCTCTCTATGCAGGATCTCGTACATCCAAAAAGAAGTATTTTATGTAAGACTGAAATAGAACGAATTTATTTAAAACTATCTTCATTTACATATAAAAAGTAACCATATTTTTATATGTAAATAATACTGATATTTATAGTGTCTTCTCATTATAAAATATTTTTCAGCTTCTTATATGCATAATTTCACATAATCCTCAAAACAACCCTGTTAAGTAGATATTCCTATTTTATAACAGAAGAGGCTGAGTTTCACAAGTTATGTGACTTGCTCAAATTCACAGAGCTAGTGCAGACTACAACTAGGTACCCTGATTCCAATTCCTATCTGATGGCATATTACCTAAGGCATTTGACTGCTAGCCAGGAAGTAGGTGGTTCAAATCCTCCAGCTGCTCAGTGGAAAGAAGATGGAGCAATCTACTTTTGTAAAGATTTACTGCCTCGGAAACCCAATGGGGGTCGCTAGGAGTCAGAATCTACTCAATGGCAGTGAGCTTGGATTTTTGTGGTTTGGTATACTCTCTCCATGTTACTAAGTGCAAGAAATACAATACAACTTTATGATGCAAAAATAAGGAATATTTGCTTGAGAGAACACTACTATAATTATCAGAAAAATGGGAAAAGGCCTGAGCACTTTCTTTGCTTGCTGGCTTTCTCTCTCAGACCTGAGCATTTCAGTGCTTGTGTGTAAGATAACGTAGGGGGCATGTGTCAAAGGGGAATCAGTGAGGGTCTCTGCTACAAGGCAATCACAATAAAGCTAAAGAGACAGTGAATTATATAATTAGCAATCAAAGCTTGTATGTGCTGTACGGTAAAAACCAACTGCTGTAGAACCACAATCAAAAGAGTAATACGCTTTCCCTTCTACTATCTCAGAAGAGGGATAAGGATTGCGAAAAGCTTCACCTTAAACATGACATGGGATCTGGCATTGAAAGAAGGGTAGGATTTTGTCACGAAGAGCAGCCCAGGCAAAGGAATAGCATGAGCAAGAAGAGTGAAGGTGAACCATGTTCTCAGGAGTCCATTGTGACTGGTTGTCAGGGGACAGGTAAAGGAGTAACTGTAAGCTGGAGAGGTTGGCTGGTCAGATCACTAAATCTGGACCATAACACTAATAAGTCTGACCTCTATTCCGTAACAACAAGGTACAAGTAGAGTCCAGGTCCTATTTATCAGTAACTAAAACCCAACATAATACTGTAAAATACAGCTACCTCATCCTCCATGTATGTTTGTTGGCTTTATCTTGTGTTTAAACACAAGCAAGGGAGTGACAGGATCAGATTTGAGTTGTAGAAAGACCACTCTGGCTACAGTGAAGACAAAAGGTGCTGGAACAGATAAATTGGCAGGAAATGATTACTGAGTGGTGGAAAGCTTTGAAATGTGAAAATGAAAAAAGACACAATTGAGAGATACTGTTGGTGCTCTCAAGAGGTAGGGAGTGCCAGAGAGCACACCAATATTTTACTTGCAGCAATATTATTACCCAACACCCAAAACCAGGAGAGGACTTGATGTGGTTGGTGAATATATTTTAATCTTCCTGAATAGGCCTCAGGAGCTCTGGTAGCGTAGTGCCTAAGGCATTTGACTGCTAACCAGAAGGATGGTGGTTCAAACCCACCAGCTGCTCCTCAGAAGGAAGACTGGCCTATCTACTTCTGTAGTGATACCACCTCAGAAACCCAAGGAGGGGTCACTATGAGTCGGATCCGACTTGACGGCAGTGAGTTTAATATTCCGCAAGGAGCTTAATAATCACTGATAATAACAGCTTCGAGTCAAGAGAAAATTAGGGGAAAAATCATCAATGTCCTGCTTGACATAGGCTCTGGACAGGCAATTAATAACACATCTAATTTGGTAAGCTGGAAATCAGAAAAGAGTTCTTTCTGATACTATAACTGTATATTTTGATCCTCAAAATCACTGAATAGTTTATTCTGCTATAGTTTGATAATTAAGTCCTTAAAAACCTTCCATATAAAAACAGCATTATAAAAATTTTATGACAATATATTATAAATAATATATTGTGTATATATTGTTTACATATTGCTTAATGTTTTCTCCCCACATCCTCCTATACACACTCTTCAAAGAAAATCTATACAAGCTGTAATTAAATATGAAATATAAGGGACTTATCAGTAGAACATTATATAATCTACAGAGAAGTATTTCAAAAACGAGTATAGGAAAATACCTACCATGATCCTGGGTAGGAAAACCTATTATTCTTCCTCAACTAATTTATGGGTTTAATGAAATTCTAATAAAAATTCCCAGCCGATATTTTTGAAACTTTACAAAATCATTCTAACATTCATCTGGAAGAAGCCAAAAAATTCTGATAAATTGAAATAATGAAAGGGCATTTGATCTAACATGTATTAAAATATATCATAAAAATTGCAATGATTAAAACATTCCTGGCTCAGGAATTAGTAAAGAGATTTATGGAGCAGAGTAAATTTTAAAAACTTATGCATAAGAATTTTATATCTGTTATATATATATAAACAGTATGAGAAGCTAGAACATTGTTTAATGGTGTCATGTGATTTGCTGTCAGTTTTAGGGTGGGGGAAATAAAAATAAAGTCAGATCCTCACCTAAAGTCTCATTTTGTATATGAAATGAAAAAGTAAACTGTATTTTAGTTTCAATATTTTAAAAATATTTAAATCACAATTTACTATCTCTGAATAAATCATGCTATTATCTTCTTAACTTCAATAGAAGGTGAGCCAGTAGAAAAGTTGTTACAGCTAACTCTGAGGAAATGCCTTTATTAAATACATATCCATGCGAAAATTGCTATAATCTACACAATTCCCTTTTCACTCTTAGCAAAATGATGAGACCAACTTCAAGCATATGGAAGCATTTCTACACATACTCTGAGGAGGAAAAAATATAATTTGCAAATTATGTCAAACAAATACACATTTCCAGATACCATCAGGATGACCAAGCACACCCTTGTTTTTAAGAAGTGTAAAAAAACTCATCTAAAGTGTGCAAATATTCTATTTCCAGAAGTCTTTGAATGATTTTTTAAGGCAGCACTAGAAGAAGAAGAAAACTTAACCACAGAAATAACACACAAATAAAATCAATTAGACAAAATTCCAAGGAACAGAGAGTCTGGTCAATGAGTGTGAGGTACGCACCTCCCACCCTTGCCCCTTCCCGGAAAGTTAAGGCTCTGAGTGTCTCCTCTGTATCTGTGTTGTATCTATACTCTGCTTGTACATATACACTGGCACTGTAGAAGACAAGAAGTCCAACCCATATCATAATTTTCTTTGTTCACGTCTAACACTGATGGATTCTTCTGCTCTCAAGTTCTGCCTGTTTCTCAGAAACTGGCCCAAACCACATAAATGAGTAACTCCAACACAGCTGTGAAATGCTCCACGATGGTAATATTAGAGGTGGGATGACATGAACACAGAGTACTGCCGTCAGGAGTGAACTACCACCGGGAAACTGCAATTCCATTAGGGTCTGGTATGATCAAGGATTTTCCACCAGCCACTTCCATTCTAATCCCCAGATTTAAGTCTATGCAAGTACAAATTAAGATGACCCAGGATGTGAATAATGACAACAGGGGAAGATCTTGGTTTTCCAAAGCTGGATGCCTGCACACCTGAATTATGA